TTTCTTTCTCTTTCATTCTCTTTCTCCCTTCTTCCTTCCTTCCTTCCTTCCTCCCTCCCTCTTTCTTTCTTGCTCTTTCTTTCATTCTTTTTCCCTTCCTCCTTCCTTCCTTCTCCCTACTTTCTTTCTTTCTTTCTTTCTTTCTTTCTTTCTTTTCTTTCTTTCTTTCTTTCTTTCTTTTCTTTCTTTCTTTCTTTCTTTCTTTCTTTCTTTCTTTCTTTCTTTCTTTCTTTTCTTTCTCTCCCTTTTCCTTCCTCCCTCCCTCCCTGCTGCTTCTTTCTTTCTTTCTTTTTCTTCTTTTGTTCTTTCTTTCTTTCTTTCTTTCTTTCTTTTTCCTTCGTTCATTCTTTCTGTGGTACTAGGGACTAAAAACCAGTCTTATGCACTGTGCTCCATCCCTAGACTTTTCAAAAATTTTATTTTTAGACAGGCCTCCCTAATTTGCTCAGTTGTAGGCTCTTTCTGAGCCTATTTTGTAGAATGAAGAAAAACTGTGCCAATATCATCAGGTTATTTTCAGAAGTAAAGGAAACACAATGCCTTTCTTTGTGTAAGTAACAAGTGTGCTGTGGCACAGCCTTTTCAACTAGTGTTTTTAATTGAGCTACACAATGTAGGAAGTTTCCAGTGACTGTTCATGCTTGTGCTCTTCATGGCTATTTCTATGAATACTTTCTCATTAAATAGGATAAAGTAATATCATACATCTGTAAGAGGAAACTGGCTGAAGGGATAGAAATGTTTGGCTCCTATGTTGATCATAGTTTCTATTGTCTCATTAAATGAGAATATAAATCTTTGCTCAGTTTCCCTGAAGTCTTTACAGAGAGCTGTGATGCCTTTGTGCTTCTTTGATAGAGTATAAAATAGATCAGGCTGTTCTTCGGTACAGGTCCCGAAGTAACTGTACTGGTACTTCATTTGACCTCTGTGCTCTCCCAGGGAAATGATGCGAGTCTCAGTACCATCATGCTTTCAGATCAAAGTAGAAGAAACAAAAGACATTAAGGAATTTAGCCCTTGGTGAACAGGTGAGGGAGCTACAGTGGAAGAGAAAATGAAATGAAAACAAGAGCACGTTTGCTGGAACTTACCTGCTGTACTCCTTTTCCTTCGTTATCCTGATTAAGAGATTTTTATCTGTACACTAAACTCAAGTTTGAGTGTTAATTTATGAGATGGAAATTATGTGAAAGCCTTTAAATACTACTACAACCTCCCCCCCCCCAAGTATAATACAGGTACTTTTAAAAACAGTGCGACCTTCTCTTTAAGTCAGTGAGGATGAAAAGAGCTGGGTTACTCCAAAAAGCATAAGGAATTTATTACATTCTTAAATTAGATTTAAATAACCAAATGAAGTAGCATTGGCTTGCTACTTTTCTTTGACTCTTCTTAGAATAATAAATTTTTTGTTAGACTGAAAGTTGAGGCTCTGGGAAAACAGGGTATTTTTGAGAAATAAGTTTGGAGTTTCAAATCTTCTAATTGTATGCACAAAATAGCATTTCAAATTTTCAACTGTTAAAAATGAGCTATCATTCAGAAAGTTTATACGGTTTCACAATCATTGTTTAACACAGAAATCTGTTTATTAAAACCAAACAAAACAGAGAAAATTATACCAGCCCTCAATTTTTGATTTTTCATTTAAATAAGCAAACTCTAAATCCACACCTTAAAAGATGTTTGTGCATCTATGTATTTCCAAAATACTCATATTTCAATAAGATTTTCACATTATATTCACCAACAGTATCACAAAAGTTCTCTTTTTTTGTTTTTGCATTTTTTGTTTACGTAACTGTAAGGAATAGTAATTCTAGAAACACTAGAAGAAAAAAAGCATAGCAATGTCCACAGTTACAAGAAAAAGTGCACATTACTTGGTCACAATCACAGTCATTACTGGAAAAACTATATGTAACAAGTAGATAAGAAATATCACTGATGCCTTCAACTCATTGTCAAAAATGGAATGACATAAACTTTACATGAAATAAGGCAAATTCAGGAATGCACAAAAAATTTGTAATCCAACCAAAGCTCATCGACAGAAATAAATAATTATACAAGAAGTATGAACTAAAGTACTTCTTCCTAAATATTTTAAAATAGGCTTGCCTCGGTGCACAAAGAAAACATCACTCGAGTGTATCCAACACTGGAAATGAAGAAAGAAGGGCAACGTATGGAGAATAGGAGGGGGAAGTTCGTTGTAAGGTGCAGCTGCTTCTGCTGACAGTTCTTTATTTTTAGCTAAAACTGCAAATTATACAAATCATACCAGGAGACATAACGGTCTTTTGGGAAATATTTCTGAAAGAGAAAAATGAAAAGAAAACTACACACAAGAGTGCAAATTTTCAGATTGTCGCTTGCAACCTCTCGACATTCAGTCATCTACATCCAGTTGCTGCTAGAGGGATGCTTGTAAGACAGCAGCGGCAATCAGGGGTGAGCAGCTCTAAAGGAACCAAGTGTGAAGTTTCTTTGAACATGAACGTTAAAAAATCCTGTGATGAAAACTGCTATGGTAAAGTTGCAGTATGGAGTGGATTTTTTTTTTTTTTTTGAGCCCAGTGTTAGTGCAGAATCGCAGGCTTCTCTTGAAAGTAGTTCCTGATGTGACAATTTAAAGAACGTAGGCAAGGGTTTTTCCAGCATCAAGTGTTATTTTTTTTGTAGAAAGAATTTGGAAAGAGAGAAGGCAAAGGGATATGGAAAAAGGACTTACAGTAGTTTCTCAAAACAGTTTTCCTTTAGGACCTATGAAAAAGTTACCAAAGTAAAAATGACAATTCTGAATGAAAAACAAGTTTTCTTTTTATAAAAATTACATTTTTTTTTAAAATACAAGATCCTTTTCATTGTTGTAATATTCTGTAGCAACAAGAATTTGGCTTTTTTTTTTTTGCCAGGTAATTCAGCTTTCAGTGCAATGAGTCAGTAGCAAATTCCACTAATGTTTCAGTTGGATCTTGAACTATTTTTTTTTTTTTTTTTGAAACCACAAGCTTCTTCTGTTTTATCCTTGAGTTAAGAATATGCAGCCTTGTTTGCCAGTGATATTTATGGTGACACACTAAAACAAAAAGCAATAGGCTGGACACACGTAAGTATCTCAAGTACTTCAGAGGTCAGAGTTCCTTTGAAGCACCTTAGCACATCACTATGGATCAGGGACAATGTGGCATAATGGAAGTATTTCTCTTAAAAGACTGTGCGGTAAGACCAGAAGTATCTCTGCTGGGAAATCAAAATGTCATTAGTGGAAACTGCAAATTTAGAACTCAGTGAATACGGTCATCATTTGACTCAGTTCTGTTGTAAAATGAGATTTTCCAGTTCATCTGCAGAACGCAATAAAAATGCAGCTGATTCTCGATATCCTGCAACAAGCTGCCTCACAGCGTTGATTTCGGTTGGACTCAGCTGCGGTCTGGAGCTTGAACTGCTGGACGATCCCGAGCTAGTTGCCAACTGCCTCTTCATGCTGAGATCGGTGGGTCCTAGGAAAAAAGAAATCACAAACTTATATATGGATAATATTTGTTCCAACACCTTGGATGTGAACACTCAGTAGCTACTGTCGAATTAATTCATGAATTCTGTCATGAGAAACTAGTGATGTCTTTCATCAAATACGTCTGTCCTCAGAAGACTAAAGAGCAGTAAGATGCTGCACGGGTGGCAGGGAAAATTTTTCCAGGTGCTTTGCACAGGCTTTGGCAATCACCTCTTGTTGTATATAAACAGCGATGGACTCTGAATGTGTACTTTGTGGAAAATTGAATTTTCAGTCAGTATTCTGCTTTGCAGAAGCTTCTTCATACCAGCATAAAATGATGGAAATTGTAAAAAAAAAAAAAAAAAACTTCATGCTGCATTTGTTAACAGCTATTTAGAATTTTATTTATTTTTTTGTTATTTTTGTTTGTTTGTTTTTCCGGTACCGGGAATCAAACTCACAACCTTGCTCTTGCGAGGCAGGCGCTGTGCCGCTGAGCTAAATCCCCAGCCCCTTAGAATTTTAAAAACACTCAGACTGTGATTCTAATGACTCTTTACTACAGACTTAATGTAGAAAGAAGGAAATCGGGGCCTGAGGAGCTTTAACAACATGATTAGAATCCCATAACTTTTAGGTGACACAATAAGGACGTCAGCATTTTTTCACTGCAGAGTGTTATTTCCCGGCAGGTTGATTAATATTAAAAATATATGCACATAGTAGATTGAAAAGTGCTTTTGAAGTGCAAACAGCAAACAGTTACTTCACACAATAGCATAGAGAAACTAAAAATTTAGAATCTGGTTTTACATATTGTTAAACTCTCCTCTATATTTTCATAAAACATGGTATGCAAACATTTTATTTATATTCTGTTGAAACCAAATCTGGTATTTCTACTTTCAGACAACAATTTAGAAACTTTTACCTAACAATTAAGGAAAATTAATAAAGTTATTTAAAAATTTTATAGACGTTTGTGTTGAGAAGATACTTTATGCCAACTATTTTTAGATTTTTTAGACTGGATTAGCACTTAGTGATTACTTTCATAGTTCTCACTGTTCTTTAAATATTTGCTATCATTCTTAAATTTATACTTATGTGCTCAATTTAAAATTCTTGACAAAATATTACTAAGCACATAACTAATGATATGTTCCCAAACTGTAATAATTTCAAGGTTTAAGCATGATTTAAATTTTTTCCCTAAACATACGTAACTTTTCAGACACTGGCATTCATTCTGTGAACGAAAACAAGAGATGTTACCTTTTCTTATGGCTCTCTTTGAGGCAGGATGGTGCAGGTCAAGACCCAACCCCCTCAACCCTCTACACTGCAGGAGGCAGATGTCCCATGAGAGGGAAATAGCTTCCCTTGGAATTTAATTAGAGGAGAAACAAGATGAGTACACAAGAACTCTGACATCTGAGAGAAAGTTATTTCCACTTCTGTCGTGGCCTTTCAATGCTTTGATTTTTCTAGCAGTTATCCTACATTTGTCCTGCTATTTACAAAATCATGCTATCGACATGACAAGCTAAGAGACTGTGGGGATCTCACACTTCCCACAGGAATTACTGAACCTGTGTCAAGCAAATCATTAACAGTATCTAATCTATTTGAGAAGATCTGAGTGAATTTTTACAAAGCCTCATAAAATAGCAGGGGTTCTGGTCTGAATGAAAAATGTTAAATTTTGTTTTATTCTTCACCTTTTAAAAGCCAGTGCCAATAAAATCTTTTTGACGATTTTTCTCCCAGCTAGTAGATGTCTAGTGTTGGGTTGCTGATTAGCATGATTTCATTAGAAGATGTAACATTTGTGATGATTTTGATGCCAATCCAAGTTGTGGATCAGCAGTTTAAACTGATATTGAGAAAAGACTGAGGCCACAACTCCAGTTATTTGTGGGGTGAAGGAAGCTAACTTTATTCTAAGGCTACAGTTTAAGGATGGCTCCCCACCTCTGGCTCAGGATTCCAAATTTGCAAACCAACATGTGGCTCCCGCTTTCCTTCAAATGTTCATTAGCATATGCAGATTTTAAGCAGTTCTGCTATCTCTATATTTTTGGAAGACAGGTGAATTCCTTATTTTGGTTTCTTTTGAGTCCTGGGACCAAAATTTTGTGTACAGTTCCAAACTGTAAAGAATCTTTTCTTGCTATTTATTATTAAAATGATCAATGTTCAAAAAAACAAAAAAAAATGTTCAATGTTTTAGAGTTAGGAAGAGAAGCAAAAATCAGTTCATCAATAAAAAATATTCACAAGTACACAAATCGTTTAATTTGTGATTATTCATTCTAAATGCTCTGATTGTCTCTAGCATTCTTTTCTGCCTTACTGAGTTAATATCATACTTCAATGATTTAGTTTAACTCAAAACAACAAAATGAAATTGTTAGAATACAAATCAATTGTCAAGTAAAAATTAAAGAGTAAATATTAAAATTTGATGAACATGCTGGATTTAATGAATTCAGAGAAATATTTTTGGAAAGAAGGCCACTGAAAACAATGGTTGTGGAAAGTTTGGACCATTAACAAGACAGTGGCCAATGATGATAACATAGAAGATGCTTCAGGACAAAATGATTTCAGTATCAATGTTAAGGCACACATTCATAAAACTTGATGTTATGGGCTGTATCTAGGTTATTTCCCCAAAACCTCATATACTCATAGCTGGGGCTTTATGGAGGTGGCTGGATCAGGGTTGTCAATGTGGATTAACGGTGTGAAAACTAAAATAGTCCAGTGATTCCTTTAGTGTTGTTCTGGGTGTGGGTAATGGGAAGACCCACCATGGGTGTAAGTGGCACCACCCAAAAGGCTTGTAGCCTGGATGGCATAAAAGGAAAAGAGACATTTGTTGCTTGCTGCCTGCTGCTCTTGCTGCTGCTGCCTTCTGCCACCCTGCCATGGACTGTTTCTCCTCTGTTATGTCTCTCTGATGTGCTTCCCTGCCCCGGAGCAAGCTGCCTATGGACTGAAACCTCTATGAATTGTGAGCTTTCTTCCTTTAGGTATTGGGTAGTTTGTCTTAATAAAAAGAAAGTAACTAAGACACTTTCTTGATAAAACACTTGTTATATAAGCACCTATATTTTTATCCAAGTAACACAGACTAATTTTTATGATTATTCTGAAAAGCTGAATACGAGATTAAAGATATCTTATGCTAACATACAATGTTAGAAAAAGTTGAATAAGGAAGTAAAGATATTTTATGCTAACATACAATATTAGAAAAATTAAGACTTACATACTAAAACCAAACCTTGATTCATTTTTTAAAGAGTTGTGCACATTTAAATTAAATGTTAGTTAAATGAAAATATATATTCATATGTCTCACTTTTGTTTTTCAAGTTAAATTATCAAATAGTTTATCTCTACTTATGGGTAAATTTTTTGTTCTTTATGAAAAAGATTCATTCTTGTAGCCATATTGTAGTGTCAATAATCTTTAGATAATAGGACCTCCTTAGGGTAAACTTTTGTTTGCATGCTATGATATAAATTCTATTTTGAAGGAGGTTGGTAACTATTTTTATGTACCAGAACTTATACTGATAATAAGAATTCAAGCCCTAAAAAAAAGAATTTAAACCCTATGAAGGGATGCTTCATTTGTACCTTATTTAATATATTGTTTTAGGCATCAGTGTTAATGCCTGCCACAAAGTAAGGACACAAAGAACATTTATGTAATAAATGAATGAGAAGTGCCAGATTCTTTCTACAGCCAACCCTGAAGATGTGGAGAATAAGTGATGTCATTAATAACACCTAATAATGATGATTAAAAGAAAACCAGCCAGACATAGAACACAGTGGATTGAATATAACTAATTCAAATAATCTGTAATATATATGAATATCATTATTGTTATAAAAGCCACTTTACAAGATTGTTCAAAATAATCTAAATAGAATTGCTTGATTATAAAAATTTCCAAGTGAACTTTTGCTGAAAAACAAAAAGTAGTTACTGCACATTTCTAAGTAATTATTTTTTCCCCACCAAATATCGCAATTAGCCTTTAGGTAGATGTAAAATCAACCCTAACAGCACGCAACTTTTCCTACTTGGCCTTCTTCCTCTAGTATATCCTATCTCAAAATATGATTCTGAAATATTTGGATACCTGAAAATTCATTGAACAATTTCAATTAAATTAACAACATTTTCAGACTCATGGTTTAATATAGAAGTTAGCAAACTTTCAAAAGAAAAGCAGTAAATATTAAAGGTGACAAAATCAGACATTATTTCAGGTATTGCAGGCCAAGAGGTGCAAATATTATGCAGGTACTTATATAAAAAGAGAGAGAATACATAGCCAGTCATGGTGCTGCATGCCTGTCATCTCAGCACTCTTGGAGGATGGAGCAGGAAGATCATAAGTTTGAGCCAGCCTAAGCAACTTAGTGACTTGGTAAGACACTGATGCAAAATAAAAGACAAAAAAAGACTGGGGATGTATAGCAGTTCAATGTGAAGGTCTGGGGCTCAGTTTCCAGGATGGGGAGATTGATGCCAAGTTTTAATGGACAAAAAGATCTGTTAAAAAAAATTAAAGCTATAACGTTCTTTTCTTGGAGGAGATGGACTAACATTTTCCTTAATGGAGGTTTAGAGTTAGCATTTCCTTTCATCAAAATCAACTGCCAATGTTCATCTATTAATGCAAATCCATATTGAGACTTTATGTCTTTCATCTTTGTAAATGTCTTTTTATGCAGAAAATTAATTCCAAATAGAAATATCTGGTCACAAGCATATGATTTTAATTGAGCATATTTATTACTTGGTAGGCATTTGTAGAATTCTATTACAGTCCTCTGTTGATAATTTCTTTTAGCAAATTAATGCACTGAAGATTAATTACTTCCAATTGCAAGTTAAGCTAGAAGTTTCTTAGTGAAGAGTGAAAAGAAGTTTGAAATAAGAGAAGTCCTTCTGTACTTGCATGTCTAAAACAC